TTGCTAATTCCTGACTGTTGATTCCTGTTTACAAGCAATGTTGAAAAGCTTTGAAGCCTCACAAAAACATAACTCACTGCGTTTCAAGCCTCAATTTGGAGGAAGTGGGGTCGGTGCTATGGGTTAAGCCGCAACTGCAGTGCCAGCATCCCATATGGGGGCTGGTTCAAGTCCCTGCTGCTCCACTTCTGATTCAGCTCCCTGCTAATGCACCTGGGAAAGCAGTAGAAGATGGCCTAAGTGCTTGGGCCTCTGCACCCGCATGGGAGACCTGGAAGAAGCTCCTGGCTCCTGGCTCCTGGCTTCAGATCAGCCCAGCTCTGGCCATTGCAGCCGTGTGGGAAGTGAACCAGCAGATGGAAGCTGTCTCTCGCTGTGCCTCCCCCAACCCTGTAACTCTCACTCTCAAGTACAAATAAATCTCTTTAAAAAATGGGGGGAAGAGGCCGGTGCCGTGGCTCAACAGGCTAATCTTCCGCCTGCGGCGCCGGCACCCCGGGCTCTAGTCCTGGTTGGGACGCTCGATTCTGTCCTGGTTGCCCCTCTTCCAGGCCAGCTCTCTGCTGTGGCCAGGGAGTGCAGTGGAGGATGGTCCAAGTGCTTGGGCCCTGCACCCCATGGGAGACCAGGAGAAGTACCTGGCTCCTGGCTTCGGATCAGCGTGGTGCGCCAGCCAGTGTGCCAGCCACGGCAGCCACTGGGGGGTGAACCAACGGAAAAGGAAGACCTTTTTCTCTGTCTCTCTCTCTCTTACTGTCCACTCTGCCTGTCAAAAAAAAAAAAAAAAAAATCGGGGGAAGCATCAAAGACTGCCTGATTCTTTGGGATCCCAAGATACCGATTTGTTCACATCCTCTCTTGCGTGTTGTGGTTTCCGCAGAGAATTCTGTGTGCTCTGCCCACGGGGAGAAGCTCAGTGGCCATGGTTTTTCTTAAGGCCAGGATGTGCCCTGGGCAGGAGTGTCTAACTGGTTTTCCTGCAGGCTTAATAGAGCTAGAAATTAGAAAAGCAAAGTGTTCCAGGAAATGATTCTCTATTATGTAGCACACACTGGCTATGCATTGTGAGACAATTAACTTACTTAGCTTTCTTCATGGAAATTTCTTACAGTATAGTGGTTAAAACCTGGTTTGGAATGCCCATATCCACGTCAGAGTGTCTGGGTTCAAGTTCTGGCTCTCATTTTTTTTTTTTTTTAAGATTTTATCTATTTGAGAGGTAGAGTTACAGACAGAGAAGAGAGAGAGAGAGAGGAAAAAAAAAAAAGGTCTTCCATCCGCTGGTTCATTCCCAAAATGGCCACAATGGCCAGAGCTGTGCTCATCCGAAGCCAGGAGCTTCCTCTGGGCCTCCTATGTGGGTGCAGGGGCCCAAGCACTTGGGCTGTCTTCTACTGCTTTCCCAGGCCACAGCAGAGAGCCGGGTCTGAAGAGGAGCAGCTGGGACTTGAACTGGTGCCCGTATGGGATGCCAGCGCCTCAGGCAGAGCCTCAGTCCACTGCACCATAGCGCCGGCCCCTCTGCTCTCCCTTCTAGCTCTCACTAATGTGCACCCTGGGAAGCAGCAGTTGATGGCTCAAGTAGTCCCTGCCACTCATGTGGGAGACTTAGATTTAAAAATTCCCAGCTCCTGGCTTTGGACTGGCTCAGCCCCACTGTTGTGGGTGTCTGGGGAGGAGACCAGCAAATGGGAGATCTCCGTGTCGCTTTATCTGCCTTTCAAATAAACGACATCAATCTTACGTTACTAGAACACATTCACATCTTGGGACATGTAATGCACATGAAAGCAATCAGACTCTTTACGAAACAGTGAACATCTGTGACTTTTCCTGCCCACGCGTTGCAGGCGCCTCCTGGGACCACAGCGGTGCTCCGTGTGGCCACCCCATGCTGCAGTCCTGTCCAGGTCGCAGCGCACACGTGACTGCGCGTGCTCTCCTCAGGCAAGCTCTCTTAATCCTCAGGATCCACCAGCCCCCTCCAGCCCTCCCGTCCTGCGCGCTCCCTCCTGAAGGTTCATGGTGGATGTCATCTCGCCTCGTCGTCTGGGCCACAGGGTCCCCAGGCATTGGGTCCAGCGTTGTTCTGGGCCTGCCTGGGAGGCCGTTTCTGGATAAGGTGAACAAACACAATTGGTGGCCTGGGAAGCAGAGGGCACTCCCGGGGCATCGAGCCAGCGTAGGACAGCAGCGCCGAGGAGGGAACTCCCGCTGGACACGGTTGGATCTTGCCTTCAGACCCCGCTGGAACCCTGGGCTCTTGCTGGGTGTCACGCCGTTGGCACGCAGACTGGGCCTGCGTCGTCGGCTGTCCCGCGTCTCCAGCGTGCTCACTGCAGGTCTGGGCACCTGCCAGCCTCCCTGCTTGCATGAGCCAATCCCTTCTAACAAAGATGGGGGGCCGTTGAGTGCACCCTCGAGGGCTGAACACTGATTCTTAGGGGAGAATCAGTTAGCTGTGTTTTGGTGCTCTCCAAAGCTTAGCCCTACAAGAAAAAAAAATAAAATTCTACTCCTTACCTACTATCCAACATTTTTCTTCATTTCTTATTAATTTTTCCTTAGTGAGTGCCTGGGTCCATTTGGGCTGGTATAACAAAGCAGCACAAACTGAGTAGCCCACAAATAACAGAAACCAAGGGGGCCCAGGCCCAAGGCAGCCTGGGTGTCTGGCGAGGGCCTGTGTGGAGGAGACAGGAACTTTCACCCCGGCCGTCCTGTCATGAGGGGGGTCTGCCCAGGTGGGCTCCTCGGTGTCCACAGGCCCCGCCCCGTGTCAGCGTGGGAATCCTGGGGCACACAATCCCTCGGACCACAGCAGGGAAGCCCGCGAGGAACGGCCGAGAACACTGCTCAGTGCCTTGGCTCCGGCCGCCGGGAGCACCCTGCATGCATCCTGCCGGGCCGTCGCCGGTTTCCTGGCCTCCACGCCACAGAGTGCTTTCAAAAACACACAGCTGATCAGGATGCTCAACCCCTCGCAGCTCGCAGGTTCCCCCATTTTCACTTGCTCTAGCCACAGTGGCTTTGTAAGCCAAGTTTTGTCATTTCATTGAGACGGAGCTACAGGAAGAGAGAGAAACAGTGAGGGCAGTGGGGAGGGGCAGAGAGCAAAGCCGTCTGCTGATTCGGCCCCCCAATGCCTGCATGGTGGGGCTGGGCCAGGGCTGCATGGAGGACTCCTGCTGCCTCCCCAGGTCTGCACGAGGAAACAGTCTGGAGCTGGAGCCGGGATCGACCCAGCGTTCTCGTGGAATGGGCCAGATGCCAGCGCCCACGGTTGCTCCGAGGCTGCCCGGGACATGCTGAGCCCTGCCTGCACCCAAGCCCTGCATTGCTCTAACGGGCCCCCACCCCCGGGCTGCAGCCCCCGGGAGTAGCTCCCATCGGCTGTCTGTCCCCTGGTGCTGATGATGCCTGCGCGGGAACCAGCCCTGCTACTATCGGGGAGGCTTTGGGCGAATTCCTTAGCGTCTGTGAACCCAGTTACAAGACAGGGCTGTGCTTGTGTGGGTCACAGTGGGAATACAATGTAATGGTAATACAGTGGTGTGGAGCGGCTGACAGTCGGTCCCTGCCGTGTCCCTCATTCAGCAGACAACACTAGGCTGCCGCCTGCCCAGTTCCTCGCTGCGCAGAGCGGGGACTCAGGTAATGCACTCAAGCTCCCCGCTGCGCCCCGAGATGTTTCCTCGTTGTGGGGGGACTAGTGACACCCATGAAATTCCAAGCCCAGGCCAGTGTGTGTGTGACAAGGGAAAGCCCGGGGGTGGCCGAAGGCAGCAGGGCAGCTCGGGACCCACCACGGGGAGTGCCCAGGGCGGCAGGGCCATCCACGACCCAGCGCGGAGCGGGGGTCTCGGGGCGCCAGGCCCAGGGCGGACTTGCCTCCACTCCCGCACTGGGGTTGCGGCTGAGGGCTGGAGAGCTGTGGCTTTAGCTGGGGCAGGTGAACATGCAGGTGGCTGCCCGCCCATCTCAATGCCACGACCCACGGGGCCCGAAAGGGGAGAACTGGTCTTCCGTGTCTCCGCGTGGCAAGTGGGCCCTCGGGAGCGCAGGCCCGGGTCTCGGGGCAGAACCTGGGCATGCTGGAGACCAGCTCGGCACCCAGGAGGGAGGGCACGGGCGGGGCCCAGAACTCCGGGCCGCCCATCTGCGGTCCGGCGGGCCTGAGACCCCGCAGGGTCACAGGCAGGAGGCTTAACCGAGTGCCCTTGGGCCTAGGGTCCCGAGAACGGACCGGTCCTGAGCCACGGGCCAACCCACCGGCTCCTCCGAGCGGGCAGCCAGGCGTCGGCGCACTGCGCCTCTCGTCATCCCGGGCAGACCCCGGCCCGTCGTCCCCCGACCCGGAGGGCTGAGGCGGCTGACCCAAGGTCACACGACTTGCAGGTGGAACCGGATTCGACACAGAGCCGGACCACGGTCATCGGACCATCTTGGCGGCCGGGGCCGGGCTGAGGCCCCTGGACGGAGGCGGGAGCCGAGCGCGGACGGCGCGAGGGCGCCAGCGCCTGTCACACAGAGCCGAGGTCCTCGCTCCCAGCCCGCAGCTCGCACTCGCTCGCGGCCTTCGGCCCGCCCGGCCCCGCGCTCAACCACAACTCCCACAAGGCCGCACGGCGTGGGCGGGGACAGCGGCGGCGAGCGCGGCGGTGACGTCACCACCGCGGTCCCGCCCCCCGCCCGCCCTGCGCCTGGGCCCTCGGCCGCGCACAGCCCGACGGGAGTCGTGGTCCCCGCGCCGGGCGCCCCGGCGGCAGCTCGGGCGGCGCGGACTCCAACTCCCGGCGTGCGTCGCGCGCCGGGCGCACGTTAACGGCGGGAGGAGGGGGCGAGCCTAGGGGCGAAGCAGCGCCCGGGAGGGCGGAGTAAGGCGGCGGGGGGGAGGGAGCCCACACCCCTCCCCCCCGCCGCTCCTTCCCCCTCCCCCGACGTAAACTGGGATCCCTTTCCCCTTGTGTCCGCCATATTGGACTCTAACTCTGGTCAGCGGCGGCGCCGGGCCCGGTGGACTCGCCGTTCCTGCCGCCCAGAGGCCTCCCGCAGCTCACCCCGCCCCAGCCCTCTCCGCCCGGGAGGCGACCCGCGCCGCGCCCCCGCCCTCGGCCGGCCGAGCGCCCGCCGCCGCCGCCGCCTCAGCCTCCCCGCCTTCCCCGCCCTCCGCCGCCGCCCGCAGCCCCCGCGCCGCTCCGCGCCCCTCTCCCCGCCCGCCATGAGCCCGGCCGACGCCAAGCGCGGGGCCAAGCGCCGGAAGAACAAGCGGGGCGGCGGCGGCGGCGGCGGCGCGGGCGGCGGCCACGGCGGCGCGAGCGGCGGCAAGGCCGGCCCGGCGGCGGCGCTGCGCGGCTCCCAGGCCCCGGGCCTGGCGGCTCCGGGAGGCGCGGCGGGCCTGCTGGGCGGCGCGGCCACGGCGGCCAACGGGCCCCTCGGCGCGGGCGCGGGCGGCGCCGCCCCCGGGGGCTACTTCGAGGTAAGCGGCGGCGGCGGGCGGGGGTCCGGCCGGCGGGAGCGGCGGCCGCCGCCCCCTCGCGAGCCGCCGGGGCGGCCTCCGCGCCGGCCGGGGCTCCGGGGCTCCGGGGCGCGGGGGGCTGCGGCCGTGCGGATAACGGGCCGGGCGGCGGCCGCGCCGCGAGGCGGCTGCGGCTGCGCCTCGGGGGTCCCGGCGGGGGCGGCGGGTGGGCTGCGCCGGCTGACAGCTCGCCGTGGCGATCGGCGCGAGCGAGGGCGGCACCTGGCCCCTCTGCTGCGCTCCCCCGGGGAGGCTGGGGCCGCCTCCCGGGCGCGGGTGCGGCTGCGGCCGCGCGCGGGGTCCGCCCCGCGTGGACTCGGGCGTCCGGTCAGCGTCTCGTTCCCCGCGGAGCTCGCCGCCGGGATGACTGTGCAGCTCCGCGGTGGGCGCGATCCGGTCGCTGGGCAGCGCTGCACGGCCGCGGGAAGTGTCGCCCCTGCGGAGCCCCCTGACAGCCGGCCGGGGTGGTCGTCAGGCCCGCGTTTGCTGCGGGACCCGGGGGCTCCCCGCGCTGTGCACCAGGCATCGGCCGGTGCTGGGTGGGGGCCGGAGGCGATGCTCGCGTGCGCGGGTCTGCAGCCGGCTTGGGCATTCCCAGGAATTCGATTGGCTCCTGAAAGATAATGGCTTTTCTTTTTTTCCCCAAAAGTTGTGTGAGTTCCTACGGCGTGGTTAGCGCTGTTAAGTCATGCTGTTTTGAAGGCATTTCCCGTTGAGCGGCTCAGTGCCACTTCGTGAGGCGGACGGGTTTTTGCAGGGTTGCAGGTGCTGGGCGGGAGCAGAGAGGGACGAGGCGTGTGCCTCAGCGTGTGCGCGGGAGCTGGAGTTACTTGGAGTGCTGTTCGCCGTGCGCAGCTGTGGATCCTGGGAGGCGCCCTGCGGGGTGAAGAGGCCTTTGGACAGGGCCTTTTTGAGGGGTTGTTTGCCGCTGCCGGGAGGTTTACCTGTGTGATGGTGACAGTGTACTGCAGCTGAGTGTAAGATGCACCCATTTCTGTCGATTCAATAGCAATAGAAATAGAAGAGCTGGTGACACAACGCAGTCGCCAGCCTCTCCCTCCATTCCAGGGTATAGTTCCCATTTGCTTTGTAATATTTTGCTAAAACAGTCTACGTTAAGTTATTGTAGTAATCACACCTAAACCCAGATAATTGTATGTGTAGTATTGTCTTTGCAGGACTGTCTCATTAAACTATTATGCCATCAGTGTTTTTGACCATGACCCACGGTAGCAAATAAAATGCATTAAGAGCCAGAACACACACACACACACACACACTCTTGAAGTTTTACACAATTACACATGGACTCTTTGGCCTTGTCTCTTGCCTTCAGTTTCATTAACTAGTACTGTTCACAGATTATTCACTACATACTGCTGAGTTTTACACGCATCTTGGGAAACATTCACTTGTACTTTTAAAGTTGTACTTCAGTTTTTAAATTTTTGCACAAGTGCTTTAATAATTGTGCGTGAAAGGTACTCTATGATACTAAAACCTTTTTTTTTTAATTTGAAGGGGAGAGAGAGAATCTTCTGTCCACTGGTTCACTCCACAAATGACCACAACAGGGGACGCTGGTCCATATGGGTCACCTACGTGGGTGCAGGGGCCCAAGAACGCCGGCCACCCTCTGCTGCTTTCCCAGGCGCATTAGCAGGGAGCTGTGTCAGAAGCAGAGCAGCCGGGACTTGAACCCGTGCCCTGACACGGGATGGCCTCATTGCCGGTTGAACCCGTGCCCTGACACGGGATGGCCGCGTTGCCGGCAGCTGCTTGGCTCACTGCACCACAGTGCACCCCTCACCCCGAGAAAACGTTCTTGGCACTGACCTCAGAAGAGCTAGTGTAAGTCTGAAGCCTTTGTCGTGTTCCCCACAGCCAGTGAGCTCTTGTGGGTACAGTGTGTGGTGTCAGACAGCTGTCTGAAATCAAGTCAACAGGGGTCACCTGCTCCACTTCGGGTCAGCTCCCTGCTGTGGCCTGGGAAAGCAGCTGAGGTCGGCCCAGTGCGTGGGCCCTGCCACCATCAATGTGGGATACCTGGGGGAAGCTCCCGGCTTTGGCCTGGCCCAGCCATCTGGCCTGTGTGGCCATCTGGAGAGTGAACCAGTGGCTGGAAAATTTCTTCCTCTGTCTTCCTGCTTCTGTAACCCTTTCTTTCTTTCTTTTTTTTTTTCTTTTAAAGATTTATTTATTTATTTGAAAGAGTTACACAGAGAGAGAAGGAAAGGCAGAGAGAGAGAGAGAGAGGTCTTCCATCTGCTAGTTCACTCCCCAGATGGCTCGCCGATCCAGAGCCAGGAGCCAGGAGCCAGGAGCTTCTTCCAGGTCTCCCACGCAGGTGCAGGGGCCCAAGGACTTGGGCCATCTTCTACTGCTTTCCCAGGCCACAGCAGAGAGCTGGATCAGAAGTGGAGCAGTCGAGACTGGAACCAGCGTCCACATGGGATGCTGGCACCGCATGCGGCGGCTTTAGCCGCTACGCCACGGTGCCGGCCCCCTCTGTAACCCTTTCAAGTAATAAAAAAATATTTTTAAAGTAAGTAAAGTCAACAGTTAACCATAAGTGAGCCTGGCCCTGTGTTTCCCAGAGAGGCTCTTGGTGTTGTGAGGAGCATCCTCTAATCCATGGGGCTCAGCCAGCCAGAAGGTGGCTAAGGGAAGTCACAGTGTGAGGACTGTGGGTCCCAGCCTCACTGCTGTCGGGCCAGATCCTGCCCCTCATCCAGGTGGCTCCTGGGCCCAAAAGGGTGTTTCTGCAAAGAAGTGACAGCTCCTGAAGAAGTAGGAAAACAAAATTGAGCTTATAGGGTCTTTGGCCCAAAGCAGGACTGGTACACAGTGCTTGGGGAAACAGATTTGATAGGCCTTGTCTCTTGGTCAGCGTGTCAGCCTTGCACTTACTACCTCGGTTAGCTTCCTCCCCTCCCCTCCCATCCCTCCCTCCCTCCCTCCCTCCATCCCTCCCTCCCTTCCTATTTTATTTGAAAGGCAGAGTTACAGAGAGGCAGAGATAGTCCTCCATCCACTGGTTCACTCCCCAGATGGCTGCATCAGCTGGAGCTGCACCAATCTGAAGCCAGGAGCTTCTTCCGGGTCTCCCATGCAGGTGCAGGAGCCCAAGGACTTGGGCCATCCTCTACTGCTTTCCCAGGCCACAGCAGAGAGCTGGATCAGAAGAGGGGCAGCTGGGACTTGAACTGGCGCCTATATGGGATGCTGGCACTGAAGGTAGCAGCTTTACCCGCTACATCACAGCACTGGCCCTGGGGGTTCTATTTTTAGCATAGTTTTCATACTGTTTGTGTTAAATTAAAATCTTAGAAATAGTGTTTGTAGAATAGACCTGTTTTTGTAAAATATCTGTGGGTATGTATATGTTTTTGCTTAGGAAAGTCTGATAGGTATACATTTTTAAAAAAATATTTATTTATTTTGAGAGGTGGAATTACAGAGAGGGAGAGACAGAGAGGTCTCCATCTGCTGGTTCGCTCCCCAGATTACTGCAATGGCTGGAGCTGCACCGATCTGAAGCCAGGAGCCAGGAGCTTCTTCTGTGTCTCCCACGTGGGTGTAGGGGCCCAAGCACTTGGGCCATCTTCCACTGCTTTCCCAGGCCACAGCAGAGAGCTGGATCGGAAGTGGAGCAGCCGGGACTTGACCCGGCCCTCACGTGGATGCTGGCGCCACAGGCGGAGGCTTTAGCCCGGTGCACCACAGCTGCAGCCGTAGGGTATACATTTGACGGACATCCTGATGCCTGTGTTTTCCTTTTTGCTTATGCTTCAAGCCTTAAAACTTCCCTGCAGTGACCGTTGCTTTCACCAACTGATATTAGTAACATTTTCCCATTTTGAACTTTAACTGATTTGGCTTTTTAACATTTTGACAGTTAAGCATTGTAAGTATTGTGTGCACATAAAAATAATTGGCACCATCAGAATTCTGTTTTGTGAATAAGTGTGTCAAATTAAGTAATATACATATTACTTACAAATCTCATAATTCCTCTGTTTTGGAAACTGGCCTTTATCCCTGACTGGAATATCAAATTACAAGTGATTTACACTCGTGGAGGGTTGGGATGGGGATTTAGGGCTGTTTTTGTGATGGCTGTTAGAGTTGTTAAAGGGTGCCATTTGGGATAGGGTCAAGGTACTTTTTAAAGTCTTATTACCATTTGAAAGTGAGAGGAACGATCCGTATTGCTTGTGGCTGAAGAGGAGCAGGCAGGAGATCTGCGTAATGTGTGGACGAGGTTTCCTGTGGTGAGATGGTGTGATGGAGCGTGGGTCTCTGGACAGGCCTTCCCTGCGTGGAGAAAGCGCCACCGTGATGGAGTGGAGTCACTTAGACCTCTGGCTCACATCTGCTTGAGCGACCTGAGAAAGCAGCTTGAATCAAATCCAGAGCTTCAGGTGCTCTAAGGTCGATGGGGCGACTTAAGACAGTTCAAATGATGACCGCGCAGCCGCAGAGCGCGCCCCCTCATCTGCATGTACAGCCGTCAAGATGTGGAGCCTGGGTGTGGAGACCCTCCCCAGCAGTCCAGAGCTCCCCCGGCTGTGAGTCTGTCTGTATGCATGTGTACAGCCGTCAAGATGTGGAGCCTGGGTGCAGAGACCCTCCCCAGCAGTCCAGAGCTCCCCTGTTCCCTTTCCTGTTCGTTTCCACTACTGTTCTGAGCTGTATCCTTTAGAGGTGTTTTACTTGTTGTTGAATTTCGTTAAAGAACTTTTTCTACTAGAGCTCTTTGGCTCAGCATTGTATCTGAAGTGCATCTGCATTTTAAACTTTGATTTATCTGAAAGAGACAGGCGTGTACACACACACACACACACACACACAGTGAGAGCTCTCCCGTCTGCCCTATCTTGTGGTGTGCCCGCTGAATGTCTGCAAGCAGCCAGAGTTGGGCCAGGCTGAAACCAAGAGCTGGGGACACAATTCCGTGT